ATCTCGCAACTTCAACATTGGTCTGATGTACCATGTAAGCCAATAAAAGTCCTTATAAGGAAACTTAAGAACACAGATGAGCGTTTTCAGTTATAGGAGGGCCAAGAATCCTCGCGTACACATATGTTAGTGTTTGGCCGAGCTTCACCTCCAATTTTTGGTGTGCGCCTTGATGTTGTCACACAAAGCGGGGGTTGTATTTTTATGAGAAGCTGTTTTGCATGGCAGAAATACTCTCGGAGGTTTGCCATTGCCGCTGTTAAGAAAAAACATTTTTTCTATATTTTTTTGCGATGTTGCTTTGACCAGGGCTTGAACCCAGGCATAGCGGAGTGGAAGCGCGCACTGCTTACCACTACACCACAGCGGCCGACCATTCCATTTAGCCATGTGAAAAGTAAATTCGTCAAAGATGAATATAGGGCCAAAGCAGACCAAACCCCGCGTGGGTTTCTATATATTTCGGCTGCAGCGCAACCAGTACGTCCCTTTTCTGCAAAACCACTGCCTGTCATGAAATGAATACGAATTATGAATTTCAATCAGATTTTATAAAATACAGCTGGTAATTTTTAGGAAACGAATTTTTCATTATACAGGTAGCTCACTTTGCGAATTTGAACGAAATCGGTTAATAAATACGACTTTTATAAGTAACTACTCCAGCGCTACCAGCGTGTTGTCTAGTAGGCTATAATAGGGCCACATATGCAAGGTTTTTGAGTTTAGTCCGAACAACGAAAACGGCTATCATTTTATGAATGTGTGTACATATATGTTTCCAACGAAAAAAAATAAAAGTAAATAACAATCATCATGAAAGTAATAAACGTTTCGAATTTGCATTAACAAAATCGGTTCATAAATGGGGCTTTTATCGGGTCCGTTTTCGCAAACGCTTTTTCATCATGCAGGTAGCTTATACTTTGGAATTGAACGAAATCGGTTCATAAATACATCTTTTGTAAATAACTCGACTTCCGCGCCACCTAGCGGGTCAGTTTTTGGTAAACGTATTTTCTAATTACCTTCGAAAATATATTAACTCAAAAAAAAAATAAACAATGCTTCATAGATCGATTTTTTTTAAATCTAACTTCATAAAGTTCTTTAAAAATATTTTGTAAATGAGGCCATAAGAGCTTAGGGGGAGAGTTACAACACAAAAATACATTTAAGGCGCAGCGAAACACGCCGGGTAATTGCTAGTATACATATACGAAGCATACACGTGGGTATAGCTGATTACACTCTTCATCTGTACGAAAAACGATCTACCAATGCTCGTCAATGAGCGAATCAGAAATCGTTTGGTTTGCACTCTTTTTTCTTAGCAAAGTTTGTGTCTTTGGACGAATCATTCGTGAAATGTTTCGTTTGTTTTGAACTCTGTGTATGGACATACTTGGATACACATGATTCAATAATACAAGGTTCGATAAACTGACAGTTGTCTCTCTCGCACCGCTCCCTTAGCAGTGGCACTGTGTTGCTTCTTTGCAAATTTACATGGAAACAGTGTAGCTTTGGTGTGAAATAAAAGTATAAGCTTTTGTGCAATATCTTTATTTGTATTTGCATATGGAACATATTTAACTGATGAAAACATAAGCATTGGATGTTTACATCAGTCTCATAGTAGTCTTATTTTAATTTTGAGTCATTTTGCAGTTTTTATACGGCTAAATAGCATATAAATTACGTAATTCACGTAGATATATCAATATTACGTTCAACATTTCGTTCAAAATGCCAGATTTCCTGCAAATACATTAGAATTTACGAAAGGAATTTCACTACTAATTGCCTACTTTGCGTACTTTTCTACTACCATTTTCGAAACAAGGGATTGCATTCTTGCCCTTTCTCTGTCCTCCGTAAATGCAACCTTTTGTAAGGGAGTGTCAAACCGCAGCTGTCAATAATTATCTAACCTTGTATTATTGAATCATGTTGGATACATACCATGATTCAATAATACAAGGTTAGATAATTATTCACAGCTGCGGTTTGACACTCCCTTACAAAAGGTTGCATTTACGAAGGCCGGAGAAAATGGGAGGAATGAAATCACTTGGTGCGAAAATGGTAGTAGAAAAGTACACAAAGTAGGCAATTAGTAGTGAAATTCCTTTTGTAAATTTGAAGGTATTTGCAGGAAATCTGGCATTTTAAACGAAATGTTGAACGTAATATTGATGTATCTATGTGAATTACGTAATTGATGTGCTATTTAGCTGTATAAAAACTGCAAAATGACTCAAAATTAAAATAAGACTACTATGGGATTGATGTAAACATCCAATTTAAAAACAGTTTATGTTTTCATCAGTTAAATATGCTTCATATGCGTATACAAATAAACATATTGCACAAACGCTCATACTTCTATTTCACACCAAAGCTACACTGTTTCCATGTAAATGTGCAAAGAAGCAACACAGTGCCACTGCTAAGGGAGCGGTGCGAGAGAGACAACTGTCAGTTTATCGAACCTTGTCAAGAATGATAGAATACAAGATTGCGCCAATGAGAGAGGATTTTTGAGCGTAATTTTTGCGTGACGTCATCTTGGTGCAATTGCGAGAGAGAAATGCCAAAACGCATATAAAAATATGTAAACAATGCAGAAAAATGTGTTAATTTTAATATTACATGGCCCAATTTTGCAGGAATCAATAAATATACAAAGATTGATTAATTAGGAACACGTAGCAATAATTTTGAACATGTAGCCCTTTAGATAAGTACGATTTTTAACACATGAAAAAATGGATGTATTAACAGTGTTTGCAATTTCATGTAGACCAAAAGGAAGGTGTGTAGCAAAGTGAATTTTTTGGACTTGCCATTTTAAAAAGCCATGCAGAGTGCATATTTATATTTGTGGACGGTAGCCAATCACCATGAACTCCACAGCTTTTATTTGATGACTTTTGTACCATTTCCGAGAGGATGCATGAGTGTGGCTTCTTTGGAAGCAAATATTCTATGTCAGTAAAACATAATTTAAGCTGAACTTTTAAATGTATAATAATTTGGGCACTGTTTTGTATTAGGTACGTAACAGCGCGGTAAGATGCCGCTTGAATTAGCGCCTGGCGACCTCAACCACTGGTGCATTATCTCATACCAGCACTAAAAGAATGAGGTACTAACAAAAATAAGTAGGTAGTGAATCTATTCATGTATCTATTTTGCTTTTGTATATATGGCATTGCCAGCAAACTAAACCAGCAACTGTCTACATTCACCATGGAAATATACCTACTACAATTCACCAAGAAAAAGCCAACATAGTTCCATATAGAAGCTCATAGCTCACAAACATAGCACAAAGCTGGATTTGGTTTTTAATGCATGGCCTCGCCGGCAGAACTGCTTCCACTTTTTCGCCAGGTTTGCGTCCGTAGGAAACGAGAAAAAACTTATATCGCACGCTTTCCTTTTGTTTTCACGTTTACACTTTGCCACTGCACACTTCATTTTGCTTTTTAATGTCTCAATAATTGTTTAAAACCACGCAGAAATAATAACGCACATATATTAAAATTTTTATTTGGTTTTTTCGTATGCTCACAATCAACAATTGCACCAAGATGACGTCACGCACACAGCTCATTCTGTCAAAATCACAAAGAGTGGATTAGCGGTACCGCGATTGGCGCAATCTCTATTTCTCTCAGTCGTGGAACCTTGTATTATTGAATCATGGATACATACATACATATGATTAGTTTGTTGTGTCAACCACATACTGCACATGACTTCAAAGCGATGCTTTGCCTTTCGGTTATAAATGTGTACACACATACATATGCATGTATTTAGCATGTTCAATCAGTGATCGCTGCCCTCCAGTACTGCTGGAGTCAATCGCTACTTTTGAACCGCTACTGCACCGACTGCTAGGTAAGTAGCTACTCTATTAACCCGTGCACATGGTAGTGCTGAGTCGAACCAGTCGTAAGCAGAATAGCGAAAAACTACGACAGAGGGCGCCCATAAATCACGCAAGGGACTACTTTAGTAACTCCCGGTAGTGCAGAGAGAGCCGATGGTGACTACCGCCTAGGACATTGCCTTGTAAAAGTAGTCGATGAAGTAGTCGGTCGGTAATTGACGGTGTTTATCAGGTAGCTACCGATTCAGCAGTCCTGTAGTCACTTCCCCGTACTGCAGGGTGTTTAGCTTAAATACGTTTATGTGTGTATGTATGTGGTATAGCGCAGTCACGTCGCTCATACACATCTCTTTTGCCCCTGTGGGCTCGTGTTTGATCGGCACTGATGTACAGATTTTTCGCGTAGCTATGCGCTGTATTTGGCAACCAAATAGGCTTATGCTTGTACGTCTTTGTAATTTTTTGTAACTTTACACCCAAAAAAAGGGTGCTTATCTTCCAAGAATAAAAAATATAAGTACGCCTTTTTACAAATGCTTCGTTTAAAAAAAAAATATTAAAATCGGTTTAGTACTTTGAGAAATAAGTCGTTACAAACGTACTCCATATAATACATTTTATATAATAGTATAGAGTATAGAAGTATAGATAAATATTTTATTAATGTTATTCTACAACTAGAAAAAGTGCCAGCAAATGGGACCAGGCCGGTGAAAACTTCGAAATATTTCCGATAAATATTAGAGAAGGCACCGATTCGTCGTCATTCGCATGGTAATTCGATCTGAATTACCTACAAATGAGGTAATTCGCTCTCAAAATTTTGTATGGCGAATTTCGTAATTCGAAAGGTAATTGGCAAGACGAATGACGAATGGGAGAGCGAATTAGGAATAAGAGAATTAATCGACCAGTCGACAGAGGAAGTAACCCAAATCCAATGGTCATATGGAAATCAATTGAAAATGAAATCTATCGGGCCCTGTCTCACGATCAATATGGATCGCGATCCAGTATCAAACTTTTGAACTGTGCAAGTCGTTTTTAAATAAGAAAAATGCAAGAAACTTCAAAAAAAGCGTGTTTAGCCATATTACTGGCATTTTCATTAAAAAAAAGAAACAAAGAGGAAGTATTGTAGTCGAAGATGGTACCTGGAGCGGCATAGGTACACTCATTTGAGATTATTGGATTCGATTCGACTTTGCAAGGAATTAAGCGACTACGAAAATTACTTTCGGATCTCCACTGAAAGTTTCGACCATATTCTTGAATTAATCAGCCCATATATAACTAAGCAAGATACAGTTATGAGAGCTGCAATTTCGCCAAAAGAAAAACTGGCGGTGACTTTGCATTATTTAGCAACAGGAAGGTATGTACCCAAATCTAATGATATTTGTTCACAACTTATTGTGATTATTTTACAGCTACTTTAAGCAGGTGCGGTATACAGCGATTATGTCGCGGCAAGCAATAAGCGAAGCGATCATGGACACATGTGAAGCTTTGATATACGCTCTTCGAAACTGCATTAAAGTAAGTGTACTAAATGATACACATGTACATATGGTATTTTGTTATAATTTATTTAGAAAACTGTGCAAATAAATACATATGATTTATGTAATAATTTTAGTTGCCAGGGAATGATGAAAAAAGAGATCTTAGTGAGTATTCCTCTGTGCTTTGTATTTCTTCAGTGGCACCTACTTCAGTATTGTATATTAGCTTGGCCACTTGGAGGCAATTGCGAGGAAAAACTAGATTGCGAAGATAGAATAGGAGACGGAGTATGTGGGTAGTTAGGTGTTATATATCCACTCTGCAGAGGCATTCCAAAATTGGAGTCTGTTGAAGGTGTTGGCGGTGGTACATAAATAGGTGGCGGTCTTTGGACTCGAATAGCTTTAATATCTGGTTGCGGTGATGATTCAGAAAAACGTGGTAATGGTGGTAATTGATTATACATTGTGGGTTCTGGTGTCGGAGCTGATGACACATCCGTGTTGCAAGCGTCTGGATATACAATTATTTTAACAGAGTTACGTCTCAAGTTACCCAGTTCTGCTTCAAATAAAATATCATTAATTCCTTTTTCAGCTAGCATACGCTGCGTTGGATTAAGATGCTCTAATTTTTCACTCCAGTATAATGCCGTTTCAATTAGCTCGTTTTGTTTACCCACTGCACAATTTTTTTGTTTTTCCGAGGAGGAGCCAACTCGCTAATAGATGAAAAGGAAGTGTTAGATAAGTCCTCTCTATTTGTCTGTTCCTCAACTTGCACCAATTCGTCCACATTTTGCGATTCTACCTGGTTCTGAAGGAAAGAAAATTATTGTTAATTAATAAAATTGATTTTAATTCTTTACATTTATGCCCGTTTGCACCAATAAATTTTAAAATTATCAGCCTGTTAAAATTTAAAATGTAGTTCGGAAAATTTGTCATTTTAAATTTTAACGGTCTGATAAATTTTAAAATTGATTGGTGAAACTGAGAGTTAATTTTATATTTTATTTATAAAATGGATTTCAAATTTCTTTTTTTAGATGCCTAGTACAGCAGAAGAGTGGAGAAGTGTTTCTGATGAATTTCGTGTATTACATAATTTTTATAACTGCATCGGCGCAGTTGACGGGAAACACGTAAAAATAAAGCGTCCAAATGGTTCGGGAGCGCTATATTATAACTATAAAGGAACATACAGTATCGTTCTTACGGCTATTGCGAATGCTAAAAATGAATTTGTCATGGTTGATATTGGATGCAATGGACGCGTGTCTGATGGTGGTGTCTTGTTTTACACTAAATTCTGGGAGCGTTTGTAACAAAATCGTTTAAATATACCGGAATGGACACCATCGCCAAACACCTCGGAATCATTCCCATATGTTTTTATAGGAGACGAAGCTTTCGCGCTAGGCCCTAACTTTATGAAGCCTTATCCTCAAAAAAGAGTATCACAAGAAGAGCAATTGTTTAATAAACGGTTATCGAAGGCTAGATGTGTCATTGAGTGTGCGTTTGGTATCCTCGCCAATAAATTTGGAGTTTTCCAGAAAGCCATAAGTCTCAGCCCGCAGAAAGCCGCAAAAGTGACAGCAGCTTGTTGTTATCTGCACAATTATTTAATGGGAAAAGATTCTAATTATCAGGCACCAAATTCCAATGAGTATAATTTTCAATTAACCACCGTACAAAGCAGTTCGGCGCGAAATTCAACAAGATGTGCAAATATTACAATGACGAATATAGATGCTAACTTTTGCCACTCAATTTTTATCACTTATGTATATGAAAAAAAAGAATAATAAAAGTTTTCACTTAAAACAACAGACAATCTACATACTAATTTCTTTTCTTTCCACCTTTATAACTAGGTATTCACTAGAGTATGAGTAGAATTCAAGGAAATCTTTAAAACAAATTTACTTACCAGGTCAACAGGCTTCTCATTTTTATTTAAAAAGTGAAGAGCGTTAAATGTCCAAGACTTTGGAATATAAACGTCTTCTGTACCAGCTCCGGAGCGCTTGGAGTCAATAATTTTTTTCAATTCCTTGCGATAATTTGGTCGTAAAGAATTTATTTTTTTTCGGGCATCACCTACAGTGGCGTTATCATTAATTTTTTTTTTAGATTAGTAATAATTTCTCATGTCCGGCCGTTCTTTTTATTTTATTCATGTAGCTTTTGGTCGAAGGATCCCACAATTCCGGCATACTTTCCAATTGTAGGATAAACTCCTTCAAACACCTTTGGTCATTCGTTAATCCCAACACCGCCGGCTGGATATGTGCGCTTTCGTCGTCCGATATTATTAAAGATTACCACTGCCAAATAAATAATTAATCCAATAAATAACGTTTCGCCTCTAACATTTAAATCTCCACTTTATTTTGAAATACACACGTATTGACGTATCGCGAACGAAATATGCTACACGTTCAATCTTTATTGACAGTACTGCGATCCGCGATCCAGATTTCAAAATGTCTAAAAATTTTGCGATATGGATCACGATCCATCAATATTGCATGCTACACAGTCTATAAATATCGCGATACTTGGATCACGTCAATAAATATTGATCGTGAGACATGGCCCATTAACAATGGCAAAAAAATATTTACCGATAGTAGCCACATCAACACCATGTGAGCGTCTATTTTCGCACACTGGCCTCATTGCAAATCAACTATGAAGTAGAATAAGTCCTGAATATTGGAATATGCTTTTGTTCTTAAAGTTTGCTCCGGAAAGTATCTGGTTCTCGTAATATTTTTTATTATATTTATCTTAATACAAATATACATTTAACTGGAGAAATTTATTCCTTTAATTTGCAAAAAGAAAATCAAAAGAAAAAATGCATATAACATAAATCCTTACCCTTTACTTTTAATACGCATAATATTTCTTTATTAACAATTGGGATTTCTGGCATGACTAATAGAAATATTCTGCCCTACCCTGAGTTTCGAATGAAAAAAAATTCACCCGAAAATTTGTGATCCGCTCATAGTAAAACCATGGAAACCAAAAGTGAAAAGTGAAACGGTTCAGGGAAAATGAAACTCATGATAAAGCTGATTAAGTAAGACTAATTGGCGCATATCCATAGTGATGCTAGAAATGAATTTATGAAAAGAAGAAAATTTTAAGGAGGATATTCAAATTTAGGATGGAACTTTATTAATTATATATCAAACAGTACCAGAATATGTGTCAGTCACACATTTTATAGCAAATGAAGAAATTTTTCCACAAACTTATTATTACAACCCTTGTTGCAATAATTTTAATTGATTCAATATACTAGCATTGGCTGTTTTTATAGTTTTTTTCAAGTGAAAGAAATATTGAAATAAAAAATCGATAACAATCGAGTAATTCGAATCTCGCCATCGATTATTCGATTCCAAGAATGATAAGAGTTAAATAAGATTCGAGAATCGATTATTTTTCAAAACTTTGCATTCCTATTTTTCAGGCAGCTTTTAGTTGAAAGCAACCATCGCCTGGTGTAAACGGCCTTTCAACTAATCGCTTTCAATGAAGTTGGTCGGCTGCACAGTCTGCACAGGCTGCACAGGCTGCAATAATAAATCTTTTCGCAGTTTTTCACCAATTGGTCCCCGGGGAGTACTTTTGGGTTGTGTGCTGCGTTTTCATTTTGCTTGCACGGCAACACTTACTGAGAGGAATTTCGCCTCATGATTAGAAAATGTTCTTTTCGAGGATAAAATATACATAATTTTGTGTTATTTATGAACAAAATTTAGGTTAAGTGTAATACTAATCTGTAATGTCTGCTGATATTTATGCTTAATGAAGAATAATATCAATAGTACATAGTTAACGCTTGTGATTTATAAGCTGGAAAACTCAAATCGTAATTATAGCACTGAATGGAGTTTTCTTAAATTTAAGTTTATAATTCAAAAAATTTCCATTGTAAGATTATATTTTTATGAAAAACGTAAATTTTGTGTTATTTTGTGAATTTATCAAGGCAAATTCTAAATTTCCGAATATATTTAAGTCTTTATTCCAAAAAAAAGCGTGGGTACTAAGTACTCATGAAATTTGATGTGTAAACATATGCGTACGGAAAAGAATAAAAGTATGTTTACATATAAATATAAGCCCAATGAAAGCTCGTTAGCTGTCAAATTGGGTGGGCAAGTTAAGCTTATTCTCTGTGCCACCATGGTCACTCTTTTTGCTACACATATTATGCTATTTTATTTTTATTAAAAATACCTTTACAAACCTCTTTTCCTTGCTAGCGTAAATTTTCGATTACTTTTACATTTGACATTCATCCTCTTCTTCGCAAATATAATCGATAAAACTAGGTTGGACACCAAAAAGTTATCGGTTTAATCTGACATTATTTTATAATTTTAAGTTTGTATGGCTAATCTTGGTTAGGTTCGAAATTAAATATTAATTTCACGTAATTTTATTCATTTTGCTGATTTAAATCTTTTTTTATTCATTTTCATATGTAATTCTTTTAATACATAAAATTATCGGTATGATTGATAAAATATGATAAATACTTGTATATACCTGTGACTCAAGGGCGTTAAGATATCTTGAAAACACCGCATCAATTACTGTTTTTGAGCTTGTAGTTTGAGCATTTCTATTTGTATATATTCCTAAATTTAGTTTTTCTTTTAGGAATATAATCTGTGGTTCTGCTTCATTTGTCGTTTATGTTAAAGTCATGAATATATATAACATACCATCTTTTGTTTGCAAAATGGGAAGCTAAATTCATTTGTTTGGCATTTCCTCTTACTTTCATCTTCTCTTTGTGAAATCTTGTATTAGCTCTGCTCCAGTACTCATTGAACTTACAGGTTTTTACACGAACTTACAGGAAGTTACAGGAAAAATGATCCCGTACTCCAAAATGATATAACTGAGTGCGATATTTTGAGAGTTGTGTAGAGAATGAAGTTGCAAGATTTTAGCCGATGCTTTTTTTGTTCCGTACTTTTTCCTGTTACTCACTTTTTACTCTCACTTCAGAGAGAGATTTTGCTGTTTGACATTTTTACAGGATTTTATACGAAAAGTATTGGGTCAGAGCTATTATATCATCCATACATATGTAGTATATATACATATATTCATGTATGTTCATCAGTTATCAACCGTCCCAGTTAATATGACTTCAGTATTTTTTTGAATTTTCGCCCTGCTTTTTATCAATAGCACTAAACCTATGCCTAAAACCATGCTATGAATATCAAAACCACTTGCAACAAACGAGTCCATACATATGTATGCACACACAAACTTAAGTATGTATACATATAAGTACAATGCCCTATGCATGCGCGGAGTTTGCATTATCGGAAGTAATAATCTTATATCCGCACTTCCTCTTACTCTGCATATGCCTAAATGTGTGCAACCATTTGCAATAGCAAGTAGGAACAGGGTGCCTCTAATAAAATTAAAAATTTTCTGCTGCAATACACATGGTAAGTCCTTCGAAATTTTCTGCTGGGCTATGCGTTACAGCTTCGCAAATTTTACCCCTACCGAAACCAAAGATGTATACACATCAAAATCAAGGTTTGTATAGTTATACAAACCCAAGTTTGAGTGACCGTTACCTGGAACTCCTCAAAAATACTTAACATCAAAGTACAGAATGTCACAAATATGAATCATTGACACATACAATAGTAATTGTTATGAATTGCTACTGTATAAATTCAGGACATGCATTTACTTGGAGACTCCGTTGGTTATTGTGGTCATAAGTTCAGCCAGCAGCTCCAACATAATGAGTAGATTTTAATGAACCTCACATGCCACTTCCTCTGGCTACAAACTGGATATCTGAATATTAGAAAATAAATAGCAATTATCTATTAAAATTATAAAAAAAATGTTTGTTTAAAAATTCACCTGCTCTAAGAAAAATAGAAGTTCACCACTCGGAGACTCGTCAAAGAAAGTGCACCGGATCAGCATTTTACGTTCGTTTTCGTTTTCAGCATTTAACAGTTCATTATCATTTACGATGGCAAGTTATACACTGAACTATGATAATCTGTATTAGTATCTATAATAATCTATACTAATTATATAAAGAGAAGTCCCTTTTTTTTGTAACAGGTAATCTCGCGAACGGCTGGTCAGACTTTCATGAAATTTTGTACACGAATAGCTTCCGGTAACCACCATGTTTTAGGCTAAAAAATTTTAACTTTTTTTCGGGTAGGTGGACCAGGAACCGGTCTATTCGAAAAAATCTTATTATAGTCCGATTTGCTTCAAATTTAGTACGTAAGTAGCTTTTTAGCATATATACAGCATATATGAACCATTTTTTCCGGGAAGTGGTCCAGGGACCGATCTATTCGAAAAAATCGAATTTACGGTCCGATTTGCTTAAAATTCGGTGCGCATATAGCTTTTTAGCATGTATTAGCATATGTGATCAATTTTTTCCGAGAAGTGGACCAGGGACTGATCTATTCGAAAAAATCGTTTTTACGGTCCGATTTGCTTAAAATTCGGTACAAAGGTAGCTTTTAAGCATATATGATCCATTTTGTCCGAGAAGTGGACCAGCGACCTATCTGTTCGAAGAAATCGTATTTATGGTCCGATTTGCTTAAAATTCGGTACATAGGTAGCTTTTTGCCTGGATAAACTTACAGATTCCTGTTTTCCAATTCTCATGCAATTTC